GTATGTACTTATCAAACCGAAATCTTTTTTATTCTTACGAAATGGAGTATAAGCTCAGACTTCATACTCATACACGACTCACGAGTATATACTCCGAGTTTAAACTCAGTTTTTATTCATACCACCCACTATGTTGCCTCGGCCTTGGTATACAAATACAGATCGTTCACCATGGTTCATACTTGACCTTGAAACTTGAAAAAAAAAGGTTGTCGTAGATTCATATTATGACACATTCAATTTTTTTGACAAATTATGAATGACTTCTGGTTAAGCACCGACGATCGTTTTTGACGTCATTGATTTCTTTCAGTCAATTTCTATTTGTTAAAAAAAAAGGCAAATTATGTCAAAAGTATGAACCCTGGTGAAACAAAGTTTACATAACTATTATTTATTCTAGCACATGCAGCCCTTATCCTCTCTTTGAATTCTTCTAATGTCTCTGGTATTTTCGTAAACTCCATAATGAAAATCACTGTACTCTTATTCATTCAACAATTATTATAAAATGAATAAATAATAAAGAATAATGTTTGACATGTTGCAGAGCTGTCAATGTAATTTTTTTCAAGGCATTCTTTGATAAAATTTATTTATATTCCATATCACTGATGCCAATCTGAATTTGTGAAATTACAATAATATGTATGTACGTAATTAATTTTTAAGTATTTATTTTAATTATTGTTCACAATTAGATAATTTTAAGTGTTCATTCAAAATTATTTTATTAATTTTTTCTAAATAATAAAGGAAAATAGTACTTGTTAGATGTTAGACCGTCTTTGTTATAAATGACGAATTCCAGGGCCTAATCAAGGTAAAATTTTGGTAAAAATCACTGATTTCATTTACAATATCATATACCTAAATTCAACTGTTTTCGAAATATTGACAGTTGAAAATTGACTTTTTTGCAACTTTGACAGGCTGTGAAACCTAAACGGTTAATTTTACCGCAAAACAATTCATACATTCTTTTCTTAGTTTTTCATAAACTATCATCTGACACCAACTTTGAATTTAATCCATGGTTAAAAATTCTGGTTAAATTTAACATCCAATTAAATTCAAAGTTGGTGTCAAATGATAGTCTATGCTATGAAAAGCTACAGACCAAAATGTGAAAACGGTTTTGCTGTAAAAGTAACCGTCAAGGTTTTACAGCCTGTCAAAGTTGCAAAAAAGTCAATTTTCAACTGTCAATATTTCCAAAGCAATTGAAGATAGGTATATGACATTTGAAAGAAATATGTCTAGAATTTTCCGCAGAATCCAGAAATGTCATAATATACAGGATCTACCATTGGTCGGGTTCATCAGGACATAGAGCTACAGCAGCGATCATCAACAGTGTTGCCAGTTTATTGCAAATGTAGCAAATCTATTACATTTATCAAAGGTTAATTATTTACATTATTACATTTCCAATAAATCTATTATATTTTCACTTATTTAACCAAAAATTATTAAAATTAATAAGTTCCGCTTGAAACACTGACCGCTCGGACCATTTTCCATCTTTTTTTTTTTTTTTTGGTGACAAGGACAGGGATAAAATTTACCACAATTGTAATAATTTAGCAACACTGCTGATGATCGCTATTGTAGCGCTACGTCCTGATGAACCCGACCATTTAAAAAAATAAAATTGTTAACCGTACAGCTGTTCTTGGAACACCCTGTATGAAAAAATTAATGTGAGAATTTCATACATCTGTCAAAACTGGTATTCCAACAATAAATTGACATGTTTTGATTGTTGATTTGAACCAATCAGATTGTAATTAAGCGATAATTTGCACTAGTGCAAATTATCAGATAATTGCATACTAACTGGTGTGAAAACTGGTGTTTTGACATTTTTTGACAAAAAATTTAAATTTTTGATTAATGAAATTCTCTCATTAAATACAACTCGTGCAATGGAAATATATTTATAATTTTCCACAAATTTGCACTCATGCGTTTTTAACTGAAAAAGGCACTCGTGCACTACGTGCACTCGTGCTCTTTTTCAACTAAAAATGCATTCGGGCAAATTTTCCAAAAATTATCAATAATTTCCATTGCACTAGTTATATTACTATTGACTATTTCACTAGAGTGTTTTATACTGGCAAAATGTCATAGGAACGGCCGGTTTCCTACTGACAAAACTCCTACCTGTTCCTACCTGGACAAAACCAACATGATGGTTTTTCAGCGACAAAATTTTGTGTGTTTAATGTAAAAAACTATTGAGTTTGACAAGTGTCACCTGAAGACAATAAATTTTCCAAATGAAAATTTGGCTTGTTTCTCTCGTGAAATAGTCCAGCCGAATACCACTCAAGAAAAAATTATGTAGGCAAAATTATTCTCTTGGTTTTATTCAAGTTTGATGCTTTTTGGTAATTTAATATAATAAAATCTTAAGCAAAAAGGCCTGATCGACGTGTTTTTGCGTTTGGTCCAAATATTTTATCCGAAGACTCCAGCGAATTAGTTAAAGTCCCCACCCGAGTCCCCACCCTGTATATTGCTGATCCTCCATGTTGGCTTCTTCACGACAAAACATTGATACCAGCTTGAAGTTTTTGATTCCAAGTAATTTAAGTTGACTTTCCGACTTCCAATGTCCCGATATACAGAATATTTGACATTCTGCATGTTCCAGCATTGTATTGTTTATTTTGTCTATTGAATTGAATTACCAAGTGACTGGACGTACCTGGTGTATTATGCTTCTCGCGGTTTTTTTAAGTTTTCCACTATCATTTGGTATCATTTTTTTGTTTTTATGGATGGTGCTCTTTTCAGTTTCCATGTTTATAAAAAGCAATCTGAGTAGTTTATTTGGCTTTTATAATTCATTAATCTCTTTTGATAAACGGGACAATTTATGTTCCGTGCTGAATGCTGACTGTCTTCTTCCTTAAGGAATAACGCATGTGTGATTTTGCTGGATTGGGTCACATTGCCAAGCACTGCACCGATAAAACCCAATGATTTCAAAAATAAATGGATAAACAAAGAACGCTTCTAATGCTGCTAATTTACGAGGTCATAATGCAAACAACTGAGACAGCTCTGAACGTGCGCAGTAGATACATGTACTGTGCGTGCGCAAAATATAGCCAATGAAAATGAAAGATATTTCAAAATTTAGGACAGTTGTTCGAAAGATAAGACACTGCGCAGGTGTTAGGCTGTTCCGTTGCACAACTGTTCGTGGAATATTGACCCCAAATTTTCGCACAAGCTCAGCCAATCAAGCCGTACGATTGTTTATCCATTTATTTTTAGATCAGTGATAAAACCATGTTGTGTCATAAATGTGGAGCTAGTGGTCATGAAGGGAAAACTGCATTGGACACAAATAAAGGGTATTTCCATGAGAAAGTGTTCAATTGTACGTCACAGAGTACCTACTCCATTTATTCTTGTTTGAAAAGTTCTTTTTTTCCAAAAAGAAGGAGAGAAAACTAAATAGATCACCACCAATACCCATAGTGGTCTATTTTATTTTATTGAATGGCACTTTGTCAAATGCTTTCTCAAAATGTAGAGTCTGCTTTTAGGTTCCTATCAAAGCTTTGTGTCCAGGTGTTTAAACAAGTTGTGAAGTTGGTAATGGTTGACACTTTTGGAACGAATCAATGTTGATGATCTGTTATGGCCCCATTTTCAAGGAGGAATGGTGTTAATTCTCCTGTAATGACCTTCTCAGAACATTTGCAAATATTGGAAATTAAACTTATTAGTCTATAGTTAGAAGGTAGCTGTTTGTCGCCCTTTTTGTAAAGTAGGGTTACAATAGCATGTGTCCATATGTTTGGTAGTCTTCCACTCTCCATTATCTCATTCCGAATGTCTGCTAGAGGTTTGTACTAGCTTTTTGTCATTGACCAGAATGAGATCAAGCAACGATTTTTAATCATTTCTAAAACGAGTTGGTAAGTTTACAACCTGATTGCGTTTGAGCATTCATTAAGTGGTGATTTTCTAAAAAAAGTTAATTTGAGTTGTCTGATTTATATAAGCTCAAATTTTTTTGGGGATAACTGAACTCTCTGAAATTTTCAGGGAACACGCTTCTGTGATGGCTGAAATCCTTTCTGTATCAGTTTCCTCTGTGGAGTAATCTGTAAATAGATGCAACATAACAACAGATTAGGTTGGTCGGTTTAAGGCGTTGTCAGACTTGTGTCCCGATTTGCACTGCAGCCCTAAGGCTTATTGTGCTACCCCCTGTCTTGCTTTAACAATTTCCGTCCCCCAAGTTTCTTGCCGCATTGTATTCCTCCAAATAAATTGCGTCTTCTACGAGCCAGTGCTTCACAGTCGTATATTCTAAGGCGGTTGCCTCCTCTTCACCACAGTCTATATGTTGAACATATTGGAGCCTGTCAATACGAACTTCATGGTTGAGAAAGCATATCAGAGCTGTATATTGTAATTTTGATTTTATCAATGAGTTAGTATTCAAGCTCTCCGTACTTGTAAAATCTTTTGTAGACTTAATAATGAAGCAAAGTGTTTGTACTATTTGATCCTTATGCTCATTGAAAGTTAGTCCATTGTCAATGAGTAATATCATTCACGAATATAGGTAATATTAGAGGAGCTAAATTTCTTCCCTGAGGAGCGCCACTTGAAATGCAGTTTAAGGCTGATAGAAAACCGGTATATTCCAAAAATTGCGTTTGCCAACTCAATTATGAGATAGATTGAGCAGGTTCTTATGAAACCCAGTGTTGTACTTTTCTGGGCAACGAGACCATAATTCAACCTATCAAAGGCCTTCGAGAAATCTGTATACATATATGACGTCAAGTTGTTTCCTATTATTGACAGCACAATAAGCTTTTTGTAAGAAACTTGTAAAAATTATCAGGATTGATCTTTAATGATCTTGATGCTTTAACCAAAGTTTTTACTATATTTTATATCTATGTAGTTGTCTGGAATGAGTAAATTGCAGTTTTTTGTATACACTGTTTCACTCTTTTCAGGTATTACAAGCCATAAATTACCTACACAATCGAGGCACCATTCACAGAGACATCAAATCTGATAACGTATTGCTTGGTATGGACGGTACTGTTAAAGTAACGGATTTTGGATTTTGTGCTAATGTTATTGGCAACGAGCAAAGGTGACTGCTGACTTTTTCAATATGTAGTTTGATTTTATTTTGATGATTTTATTTCACAGAGAAACTATGGTTGGTACACCTTATTGGATGGCGCCAGAAGTGGTAACTCGACAAAAATACGGAAAAAAAGTCGACATTTGGAGTTTGGGCATTATGATCGTCGAAATGTTAGACGGAGAACCGCCATATTTGAAGGCACCTCCTATTAGGGCCTTGTATTTGATCACAGGTAACATATTTAGCTTCTTTTTTTCAAAATAATGATATTATGAAAATATTGTTGAAAAATGAAAACCTATTATTTTGTTTATTAGTTAATGGTCGTCCAAATATATTAAGATGGGACTCGTGTTCGCCAAAATTGCAAGATTTTATTGATCAGTGTCTACAAGTAGATGTAGATAATCGAGCCATTGCCGAAGACCTATTACAGCATGAATTTTTAGAAGAAAGAATGGAACTCAAAAGCTTGACTCCATTGATTAGGGCTGCCAAAAGGATTCTTCACAAGAATTAACTCAAACTGTATCCATGTGTTTTTATTTTCTATGTATACAACCAATTTTATGTATTTTTGTTCTCTAGAAATGGCTCTTTCACTACAAATTATTGACGATGCTTTATTTACAGTTTAAAAACAATAAGGTTGAATTTTGAATAATTAATAAGTGAAAGAGTTTCTCTGGAAGTATATTCTTACACTTTATTTTTTCCCAAGATATTTGACATTGAAAACTTTGAAACATAAACAATAACGCTTGACCCTGATTGGTCGCAAAATGAGGTGTTTCTGCAAGTTGACATCAGTTTCACAATAGCAACCAATAAGCGGCATTGTTTATGTTTCAAAGTTGACAATGCCAAAATCTATCTTGGAAAAAAATAAACCTTATATTAATTTTAAAACAAAGCAGTCAGTGTTAAATTTAATTTTTTAGGGAGTTGCTTAAATGTGGCTTTAAATAGAAGCCAGTCACATTTGAGTGGAAACCCAGTAATTTAATGAAACTTTATAAGAATTATGAGAGTATTATTGGGTCCAAAACATTGCATTTTGTAACTTAACAAAAGACTGAGCCAAAAATTCTATATTAATTGACACCATATTTTTTGAAAATGTTTTTTTACAATGTTTTTACTTTTACCAAGTATAGGAATTTATTATATTTTATCAGATTTATTATATAAATATTTTTTAGTCGAAAACAATTGATGCAATAACTAATTTTATGTATGAATGTTTTAAGAATTTTATTGATGTATATATTTTCTCTTTTTGAAACTATTATGCATTGAATTTGTGTGATGAAAAACGTAAATAACTGTGCTACAACAAATATATTTGTTTAATTTTATTTGCATTTGCATTTGTCCCCCAAGATCCTACCAAAAAAACAGACAGCATGTCTTTACAAAGTAGCTAGTGATGGCGCCTTCAAGGTAATCAAGTAAATTAAAAATAGACAAAAACTGTTTCTAGTATTTTATTTGTAAAAAAATTACAATACATACAGCCTAAGTTTAAATCTACTATACTTAATTGAAGGTATCAGTGCGAACATGTAAACATTTGCTAATTGATTCCAATCATGCCCAAAGGCACAGATTTATAAAAAAGTTACAAACTCACAAAAAAAAAAAAAACAAACAAAAATATATACAATAAAAAAATCAGGTCATGGAAGTTTTTTGGAACAAATTAAAATTGGACGGAAAATAATAATACAAACATAAAACTTCAATCTCTGAGAGATTATACTCTTTAGGCCAAGAATCTACATGAAAGTAAAACAAAAATAAATTGAGAATCATCAAAGTCCTTAAATAAATATTAATCTAGTATCAAATACTCAAATAGTTGCCAGTTGGTTCTATTCGAAAAAGAAATTGTTCAATGATCCCTGAAAATATGTTCAGCCTATTCCTGAAAACTATATGAACCATTCCTTTTTTTTTTGAACATGATGACCTGTAGTTCCTTGCACCACAGCCTCATCCGGATCTAAAGCTGCATCGGCACCAGCATCTTCTTGCGTCAAATACTCACCTTTATGTCTGTGAAGATAACGTCCAACAATTATACAGAGGATTACTAAGGCCAGGAAGACTATTGCCAAAACACCTAATAAATAAATCCATGTTATGGAAGTCAAAAATATATTATTCAAGACTTACTTCCTAAAATGGCTGAGTCAGTTTGATTGTAAGCTTTTCGTAATTTGTCTTCGTCAACTTGAGGGGGCGGTCTAGTTTCGACAGTATCAGGAGGATGCGTTATTGGTTCCACACCACAAAAGTCTTCGTTTAAAGGATCGCCTAAAACCTTTACGTTGCCAGGGCCTGATTGTTGGAACAACAATTTCAAAGGATAAATATCGTCAAATTCTACTCGGGAGACGCAACCAATAAAACCTTCAGTCATGGTTTCGTTTTTGCCAATGTACATATATTGAATGTTGTTGAATTGAGCATCTGCAGACTCTTTGATATTGAAGTGGAACTCTTTGGGCTCATAGCCGTCTACTCTAATTACTAGCGTCGAGCCACCATTTTTTCTCGAAAGGCTTAAATAATTAGAAAAAGTTATAACATTATCAAACTGCATAAAACAAATTCTTACATTAAATCGTGATACTGTCCAAGTCCAAAATGTTTATCTGGATAAATAACTTCTTGTCTTTCAAAGCCAAAATCGAAAACTATCCTTAAATGACCAGAATTCGATACCATGATGGTCAAATACTCTCGGGTGATATTAGAGAAGAAACCGAGCAAAAATCCTTTGGGATTTGTAGTGGTGAAACCGACGCGTATGTGTTCGGCTATTGTGGAACGCCAGGAACCGTCAAAAGTGTATTTCACTGCAGAGTTTGATTTCATGTTGACTCCGATTTCGTCAGCACAAATTGGACCCTACAAAAAATAGACGGGACTTAGACAAACTTAAATTATACACAGACAGTAAGCTCAAAGTCACTATACCAAAAAAATTTCTGTATGTCGGAGAAACAAAACTGGAACATGTCACTTCAGTACTGCTGGAAAATGCACTATTGGTCAAAACAACCTGACAAATAGGACTCAAGCCAAGTCATATACTCTCTTTGATTCTTACCTTGAACGCAGTCCATCGGCAATCACACATGTAACTGTCGTATCTCTCGTGGCAAGTTCCGTTGTTGAGGCAAGGATTGCTGGCGCACTTCCCTGAGCATCCTTCGGCTATTCCATATAATCCTCTTCGTGCATACTCTCTCAGATCAACGTGCTTGCCATTTATTAGTAGTGCTCTCATGCAACCGGTAAACCCGTCCCTGAAAGAAATAAAACATTCAGAATTAAATTTCTGAGGAGTAAATTGAATCATTTGACCAGGTTTCCGTTAAAGCTATAACATCATAAATACTACTTATTTATTTATTTATGTACGACCTACACTGTAAAAGCTTATTACGTAACTCATTTTAGCCTATTTGAGTTACATAACAAGTTGCATTACCGTGCTTAGTGACGTAATGAGCTCATTACATCACTCAGTGATGTAATGAACTCTCATTACACAACTCATTTTTATTGAAAAACGGCACTTTTTGAAATTCATTTATCAAAAATTATAAATGTAATCTTTTGTGAAAAATTAAAACCATTTCGAATACCTTTATGAAAAAAATCTGGGTCGAACATAAAATGTTGTATATCACACGTACGGTAACGCTCATTACACCACTCGTGTGATTACCACGACTCGGTCTACGACGTACTTTCGTTTAAAACAATGTATTTGAAAATTCCTCTCCGCCGCGCTGCCGTGCGCTACGCTCCAGTGAGCGATAACCTGTCAGCATACTCCTGTAAGAAACGAGGTATGGGTACCGTAAAATCGGGTGACTTGAGACGATTTTGACTTTCAGCAAGCGATATTTTCGAAACTATTTAACTTAGCGATGACTTAAACACGTCAAAAGTTGAGTCTTAACCTGTAGAATCGGTTTTATAAGTTGAGTTTTATGTGAATAACAAGTTACCCAGGGTTTTTTTTTTTTGACTGTCTCATGTCGGATGCTAGGGTGGGTTACTTGAGACAACCATATTTTTCAAGCTTTTGCTCATGTTTCAAGCTAAAAGGATCACTTGAGACAAAAGAAACTTTTTTTAAAAGGTGGCTATTGACTCCTGGCGCAAGCAGGCTTGATATTGTCACACCAACGAGTGTTTGAAATGTGACAATGTCTCTTTAAAAAAAGCCGGACCCAATCTTTCCCAGGCAAGTTATTTTTTTTTTGAATTTTTGATCACCCCGTCCGTCTTTACGACTTTACTAAAGGTTTCAAGTCGTTGCCCGTGATTAGAAAGCCCCAACGGCAAGCAACTTCTAAATTTTCCACAAAGTCTCTGCTCCTCTTCCATTGTAAAGACTATTTGACCACCGGAATTTTTTTTATTGAGATTATTCACTTTTCGTTGAATGGTGCACCTGGAAATGCCATATTTTTCTGATAATAATCGATAGGATTTAGGTACTCGTTCTTCAATCGCTGGTTTCAACATTCCGCTATCATAATCAGCATAGGTCCTGCAGCCAAGTTTCTTTTTTTGTATTTTCCCATAATATGCTGAAAACACTATAAAAACAATTGAAACAGGCACATAATAACACTCTGAATAGTTTTGGGATGAATTGAGACAAGTCTCAAGTCACCCGCAACAACCGCCATTTTACCTTTTCATATATATATATATATATTTTTTTTTTCTTAAAAAGGGAAAGTAACTTACTATATTCCAAAAGATGCACAAAATATCAATCTATTTCTGAGTAAAGTTTCAATAGGCAGTCCTAGATAGTATAGAGACAGTATGCAAAGTTATTCAGCTATTTTTAAGTTCAACAATTACATACATGCGTAAAAAACTGCACAAAAATTAACTTATCGTTTCCGAGGTGGTTCAAACATTACTATAACACGTCTTGACAACCCTTAAGTCGAATAAATATAATTGGCGCCCAAATGCGTCGGATATATTATTGCCAGGTATATAATTAGTTTCCTCAAAAGTTTTGTCTCAACTCGCCCGGCTGTCTCAAGTCACCCAGTTTGACGGTACATGTTATTAGTTTTATAGTAGTGGTATCTCAAGAACCGCCTCTGGACCTTCTCTAAAAGATCTATGTTGGTCTCTGCATAACGTTAAATTACAAAATGCAAACTTATAAACAAACAAACAAAAAACATTATTTTAATTGATAACCTCCACCGGTAATTAGTACATGGATACTTACTTATCTATCATTTGCAATATATCTTAAGGCAAAATGGATACAAGACAAAACGGAGAAAACAAATTCAAAACATTCAACACTCAAGCCACAATTCAACATTTAAGAATTATAGGCCAAGCAATGAAGGAAGTTTACCTCAACATAATTAGAAGTTAACATTTTTTAGGGGGACCCGTCCATTTTCATGTGCTAAATAACATATTAAGTTTGCGACCTTGTTCTTGCATAGGGTTTTTAGTTAGGGATGGTTTTTAGGGGTAATTTGCGGTTTATGGAGAACGCTGCTCAACAAAATGGTCCAATAGCAAAAAATTTCAAATGATTGTTGTAGCTGAAGTTTTTTGCTATAAAAAACTAAGCGACAGCACCCTTCTATCTTCTATAGTTTTTTTTCTGCAGCGTCTTGAATAGTAGCATGTTTTTGTTCAAGGTCACTGAATCAACGTTTCGCCTGTTTGCGCGCATTTGATGCAGCAGCGGCCGATTGCATAATCCGATTTCAATTTTTTCAAACACCACATTACTGCTAATGCACTCTCCATTGCTTTTTTGTTCGAATTTTTTGCTTGAAAATTAAGCGAGCACGGACTTGCCTAATATGCGGGGAAGTTGTAAATTGCAACGAAAACTACTCCTTTCCCGCATTCACTGTAATTTCTAAACGGGGCCAAATATTTGGTAACAGTTTTCGACAATCGGCAGCCCATTTATTCCTCTCATAATGTCCCAGCGAATTTTTTTTTTTCGTTAATTACTCGATGACTTATTAACCTGTTGGGGGATCACGAGACTCGATTGTCGACTTACGTCTATCGAGTTTGGTCGATACTCGATAAATTTCGTTCACGAGCTTCGACTCTACGAAAATCTCTCGACTGTGTTGGAGGAGTCGAGTTGATTATTTTTAGGTTTTGTCAATGCTTTTTGTTTTAGTTTTGTGTTATTAATAAGCACTTGAACTTCCTGAAGGAATATTTATTGAACTATGCAGGTTATCTAAAAATTATCTAAAATTATTTCCCAGTGTTTCAGGGTCGGTGGAAAAATGGAATTCCAAAACCACTAGGACCGATACACAATAATGGGCCACTTTCACGTGTCGGGAATATGGCAAATTATGATATTTTTTGACGCAGATCAGGGTCGGATTAAGGTCTCTTGGGGCCCGGGGCTATTTTCACAAAAGGGGCCCCTAGATCCCTGAAATAAATTCAAACGTCACTCAAACAAAACTTTACCTTGCAGGTGCATTTATTACAGTGACTTTCCTGCGTTTTTATTCTCATCAAATTTTACCGATGGATCGACCATTCTATGTCGGTGATTGTCATTTTCTATTCCCTAAACAAAAATAGCTAGCTCATCGGTGAAGTCACCGATTAGAATAAAAACGAGGGTCTTTATACAAGACAGTGGTGACAGTGGGTTGTCTCATTTTTGATTGCTTCTCAGAATAGACCGATCTCCTATTACCTGAGGGAGGATTCTCATCCTCTAATCGCAACCTATCGTCCTGATTCACCCGTTGAAAGGCAATGGGATAGTCGAGACGATAGGTTGCGACTAGAGGATGAGAATCCCCCACCTGGACTGCGCGCGTCGCTTGTAGGCTGCAGGTGAGCGTCCAATGAGAAGCATGTTTGTTACAAGCTTGCGTCATATTCTAATTCAGGGGCCAGTTCAGAATAAAGCGTTCCTTCTTTCTTTGTAACAAAGAGCAAACTAATACTTTATGTATTACTTGAACTCACCGCAGTGTCATTTAAGGTTATGTTAGATTATACTCGACATATTCCTTTGCAATGGCAGCAAATATCCAGTTAAGTTCTCCAAAATTTTGTAGAGGGCGCGAGTGAACTTGGAGTGCTTCAAATTTTGGCGGTAAATGTCAATTGTTTTAAACCGTTTAAATTAAGTAGAAGGAAAGACGAATACAATATGAACAATAGACAATGAATATTTTAAAATATCTTCCAAAGCATTCAGTGGCCCTTAGAGAATATTTTTAAAAGTGTCAGCGTCCGCTTGTCTTGAATCCACACATAAGACTTAACTTTTCAGGTTGAAATTACAATCAATTATTTACGCGCCAAAATTTAAATCGCTCGAAGTATAGAAGCGCCCTCTTCAACTCAACTGTCAATATTACATGCCATTTCATTATGCGGTGTTGTCGGATGAAACATTTATCAAAATGAAAGTGCAAACGATGTTAACATACACTTTCTAAGCGCTTCTTTTGTCTGATTTAAGGGGTTGTAAAACACTTGACACTATATCACTTCTTTAATGTTATAATGTCAATTTGTATTGTCTACATTTGTTCTGCAACAATACAATCTGGCTACACTGCACCTACGAGTTGCGCGCGCATGTCATCTTCCAACATGTATTTATTACAATTAAGCTCTCTTTTTCTATTTATGCAAGACAGGTCAATTACGTAGTTCATCCGCCATATTTTGACAAAAGGAATTTGTTTTTATCTTAGAGCAGGTAAAGGTAAAGAGGAGTAGTAACCTGAATTTGGCTTCACTTTAGTTTCATAAGCAGAATTGCGCGTTCCTACTCCTTATGTCCGTAGGACAGCGCTTTCCTGCTCTAAGGTTTTTATCATTTAATCAGTGGCGGCTCGTGACAATCCAAACTGGTGAGGCCCAAAGCCCGCCGCATTTCTGAGCTAACCCAAACAAACCCTTAACAAAATTTTTGAGTGCCACGCCTATTGATCCAAAAATTCATTAAATAAACACACTTTCAGGTGGTTGAGAGAAGGAAGTTTCTAGCAAAGACAAAACAATATCGTGAGAGGGATTCATTTTACACTCCTAGAATACCTAATTATAAATTATAATTAAATTATAATTGGCACCTTCATCCAGCAATACAACAATATCAATTATTATTAACAGTATTTTAACCCGCAACAGACAAAAATAAAAGGTACGCGCCAATTAAATCACGCACTGGCATTTGCTACTTTCGCGAGAGCAAGAGATGCAAGGTTTTTCCTTTAGTAAGCCCAAAATTGTG